CGGCAGTTCTGACTCACAGTCTGTAAGTACGTTTTCATATAAAGGATATGCCACTGATGATTCAAACACGAGTTTTGGACAGTAGAGTAGCACTTGTTGTTTGTCATTTCTCTGATCACAAATGCAGACAAGAATTTTGTGTTTACAAACGCGTTGCATTTGTGATGCAATGCAACGCGTAAAAAGACAGTATAAGTCATTATAAACAGTAATTATGTCCCCACTGGATGCAGCGAATGCCTCGTTTGTAATGGGTTTTAATGTTTTTGTCTCGTGGCTCCGGCCGGACAAGGCATCATAGTAGGATAAGGGGCGTAACATTTCCGTCTGACACTTGAGGTATTCGGCCAATTACAACGTACTGGATAGCTGGCCAATCACAGCACACCTCGCTTTTTCAGACCGATGAGCTTTGTAAAAATCGACTCGTTTCAAAAAGGCGGGGCATAGAGGAGAAACAATAATGTGATACAGTATGTGGAAAATAATGTTTTTTTTTTTACTTTAAACCACTTAAACATTTCATTACACCAAATAATGTTATTTTTAGTAGCATTATATGACCCCTTTAATAAAGTTATGAACAAATAACTGAGTTCACCAGTATTTGATCTAAAAGCTTCTGTCGCACATTTTTACATTTTTACAAACTAAAACAGTAATGAAACAGCACTACTGTTCTGTGGTATTCAGTAAACTGACTGAATATTACAAAAAAAAATAAATGTGTGCTTGGCGTGACTGGTCTGATGAGTGTGTGTGGAATGTGACAAGACCGCTCAGATGAGTTCAGGTTTAAAGAGTTTCACTGCACAGCACACACACACACACGTGCAGATGAGTTTACCGTCTATTGGCATGCTCTCATTAAAAACCCATAATACGCGCAGATCTCTCTAAAATAAAACAACTAAATCATTTGACACCATGTAGAGACACTTGAAGACAGGCTATTATAATCAGATTCATCAAATGACTTCTTCCGATTAAATGGTTTCCACTAATTGATTGTTATAAAATGTAACGAGTTACACACATTTAAACCAGTGACACGCAGAACTCTTACAAATACATCAAAGCTAAAATATGGACGGTTCATTAGGCTTCGGAAATCATTAATTATAACAAATCAGCTAATTAATTATGTAACTTCCACAAATACGGCTTGTTTTTCAGCACCAATACATTTATGACATAAAATTCGAACCGAAAACACATAAACCGACGTCCCACGATTCATAATATAGACACTGAAACATATTTTTGTGCACAGATCAGTTGACTCTTACCTCAAACAGGCGAGCACTTTCATGAAGCTATCTCATTTCACTGCACACGCGCTCTTACCGAATCATGGTCATGACGTCACAGAGGTGTGTTCACGCCTGCGAGATTTCAGAAATAACTCCCTTTCATTTACTTTGCCAAGAAAAGCTGATATTATTTAGAATTCAAATAATATTCAGACCTATTCATCAAAAGCAACTTAATTTCTGTTTAATGTAGTTTGATCAGTGGTTAACTGTATTGTGAATGTGTTTTCCAAATCTTTCAAAACAGCAGAGAGACCAGGAAGTACGCTTTAGCGTCAGTAACTCGTTTGGTTTGTTTGGTTGTTTGGTTTTGGTCCTGTTTTTAATCAAAGTAGTTCAAACACTTTATGCACATGCAAACTGTTCTATCAAATTAAAAACGGGCTCATCTACCAGATTTAATTTGCTACGTGGAATCAGACAAGGCTGCCCAATTTCACCATATTTATTTCTATTAGATGGACAGTTGCTTGCTATTCATCTTAGGGCAAGCTCTGTGCAGGGCATTAATATTGCTGACAGGCAGGTCATACTGAGTCAACTTGCGGATGATACTACATTGGTTTTACGTAATTATGCTCAGATTTCTTTAGCTATTAATGTCATTAGTTTATTTTCTCTGGCTTCAGGTTTGCAATTAAATATTAATAGATGTGAGTTATTTTCAATTAAACAATGTCTTTTGAGAAGCATAGATGGTATCCCAGTGAAAGATAAAGTCACGTATTTGGGTATAGTCGTATCAAAGGATATGAAGGGTAGATGTGTAGTTAATTTTTCCCCAATTATGGAAAAAAAACAAAAAAGAAACTAAATCTCTCAAGGGTAGAACTTTACTTTGTAAGACAGAGAGTCTTTCACATCTAGCCTTATTCTGCTACGTCACTCTATGTTGATGCTCAGACTTCTAAAACAATTGAGCAATCTTTATTAAATTTTTATTGAAAAATAAGAAACATTACATTAGAAAATCTGTAGTTATGAAAAATTGCATTATATAAAAAAACATTTATATAAAATTTTATCAGCTTTGCTACTCTCAATTAATTCAAAATTAATAGGATTAAACAACACCTAAAAAATCCTACCTCTTTATGGAACTTTATCCCAAATTTTATTTTTTCTAAATTAGCTGGTTAAAATGTTTTGCTTTTGTGTAATTATAATCCTGAAAAAAATAATTTATTAATTTACTTATTTTCACAAACAATGTCTTTTAACGTGGTCTTTAATTTACAAACATAATATCCCCCCACATAGTTATATAATTTGGCACAATAGAGATTTACTTTACAAAAATAAATCAATTTACTTTGATAATTGGGCAAAAAATAATATTATTTTGATTAGTCAGTTATTTAATGACAAAGGAATACCTTTTAAATTTGAGGAATTTTTGTCACACTATAAAATCCCTGTTACAGCAAGAGAATTTGCTATTGTTTTTGAAGCCATTTCTTCTGGGATTATGTTTATTAAGGGTTTTTAATAACCGGTTTTCTCATGTTGTGCCACATCTTAATGTGTTTGAAACAGTTGTCGGTAAATTATCCTTGACCACAAAGTCAAATAACAGGAGTGTTCGTACTCTGTTCCAGTGCAAGGTAGACTCTTGCCCTAATGCTTTATCATTGGAGCATGTCTTTTATTGGAACAGACATGTAGGTAACATTAACTGGAAAAGAGTGTGGACTTTACCTCAGAAATTCTTTATGTACAATAAAATCAAAGAAGTGTCTTATAAAATGATCGATGCTATCCTACAAAGGATTTTTTTTTACAAAGGTTTATTTCTGATGACTTTGATATAAGTTGCTCCTTCTGTGATCACCAAACTGAAGATTTGTCCCATCTCTTTTGGTATTGTGATTATACTAAGAATCTCTGGGAAAACATATCGAGTGTTTTTTGTGGTATAATTCCTGATATCTCTTTGAAATATGAAAATACACATGAGAGTGAAGAGTTAGATTTTTTTATTTATTCAACCTTATTTTGTTCTTGGCTAAATATTTTATAAATAAATGTAAATTTTGCAAACATAAGCCTTTCTATAGAAATATTCTTGAAGATTTAAAACTCTTCTGACTCTAGTAATAAGAAAGCTGTGAATCTGTAAAAAAAACAACATTATTGTCTTGCTCCCTGGGATATGATTTAATATCATTTTGTTACATCTGGTTGTATTAATAAAAAAAAAAAAAGGGTTTTGTACTGTACGTCAAATTTGATATAAGTACAAAGAGAGACGTTGCTGCCGTACCCCACTAGTGATGAACTGCAGTGTAACATACAATACAAATATACATTTTTTTAAATTACGAACACGTACACATATACATCTCACACGTATAAATATACGCCTTAGAACACATACGTAAATATAAAATAAAATTAACTCTAAAATGGATTTAATTTTTAAGCAAAGTGCATTACTCTTAACTTCAAATTTAAAATACATAATTTAAACCATTAATAAAAACTACCTAAACCACTGAAAAAAAAATTGTTACCTGTCCCTGCTCTCTAACACCACACTTCACCACAACATATAATTATTCAGGAATCTCTTTTCTTGCGTTGTTGTATCTACTGTATGCACACCCGATACACACCCTTTATTTCCCCATCTCTGTCTCTCTCTCCCTCTCTTTCATGAGAACCAGACAAGCCCTCTGCACAGTCCCTGTGGCCAGCTTGAACACACTTCATATGCCAGCGTGATGTACCCAATCTTCAAGCAGAAGACACTGGATTAAATATTCAGAAAGATATCAGGCCACAACTCTGACTTGTGCTGCAGCCTGAAATTAAACCATGTTGGCCAGCAGAGAACTGGTCCCTCAACTGAGCCTGGCTTCTCCCAACGTTTTATTCTCCATGTCACCAATGGAGTTTGGGATCCTTGCCACTGTGGCCTTTGGGCTTGCTTAGTTAGGGACACTTAATATTTGACAATATTATTGTCATGACTGCAGGGGCATTACTGGATGAGAACTGAACTGAGCTGGATGATGACATCACTATTTTCTCCGGAGCTGCTTTATAGATGAATTACAGTTCTTCTCAATTGATTTGACACATTTCTTCAAACTCACTGTTATCAAAAAGTTAACTGAACACTTTGTATTTATAAATGACAAATCATGTGAAGACTTTTATTAAAACATTGTGCACAAATTTCTCAAATGTTTTCATAATAGTTCATATAGCCAACCAAAACTTTAAAATAGAAAAAAAGCAATTGCAGCTCCTTTTATTGGTTTTACACAAATCACAAGCATTTATGTAGCATTTGTCTAAACACAACAAACAAAAACTGTAATTTGTCATATTATCAAATGGTATATTTTCAATTGGCCCCAAACTGATAACTGCTCAGTTAATTATACACACAACACAGTAAATGTAGTTTTCCTACAGTTTTTAAAAATTGCTTTCACACTAAAAGTTGTACTTGAAGTACACAGTGTAACCATTCACTCATATACCGAATCTTCAGACCAAGTCTGCAAAACTGCAGGTACATTATTTGCTTTACACTCTGTTTGCAAATTAAGATGGCTCCAGTTACTAATGTAACCTCGGTTCCCTGAGATAAGGGGATGCCTGAATTCAGAAGCCTGATTTGTTCACATTCGTGAAGCTGCATGAACAAATGGCACTTCAGACCGCCAAAATATATGTAAGTCGGCTCGGAGTACCATTTCGTCAGAATCTTTTGACTGATAGCGACAGTCATCGACTCGCATGCAGCCTTATAGTACAGCAGATTACGCAATACTCATTCCCTTATCTCAGGGAACGTAAGGTACTCTTATATCAGAGGTTACGTTAGTAACCAGAGTGTTCCCTATCGAACGGCCTCTCCCATTGCATTGCTACGCATATGGGGAACGCATCCGAAAGTGCCGTGCTATAAGTAACTGCAGAATGAATCTGCTCTGCGGGCCCAGCCCCGGAGCACCCATAATTGAGGGCTCCTATAAGCATGAGCCAATTATGAGACCCAAGCCACCAGGCTGGGGTCTACATACAAGACCTTCTCCACTAAAATAGGGTATTAGGAAAATTAAGCGGACAAAATCCGTGGCTGAAGAGCAGGGACGTCCAAGTTATAAAATCTGGCGATGGTAGACGGCGAAGACCAGCTGGCTGCCGCACAGATCTCACCGATTGAAACGCCGCTGGACCAGGATCAGGAGGAGGCCATTCCTCTGTTGAAGTGGGCCCTCACTCCAATAGGACCCTGTAAGCCCACTGAGTTGTAAGCCAGGGCTATAGCGTCAACTATCCAGCGAGAAAGTCTCTGCTTCGTGACTGGCAGCCCTTTAGAGGGGCCTCCGAAACATACAAAGAACTGCTCTGAAAAAAATAAAATAAAAACCCACTTGAACCTAGAGAATTAGTTAATTACAGACCGATCTCAAATCTCCCTTTTCTGTCAAAAATACTAGAAAAGGCAGTATCCTCTCAGCTATGTTCCCTCTTAGAGAGATATGATATCTGTGAGGATTTACATTCTTTTGAGTAAACTACAAAATTATGTTGGCATTATTGGAATTGCATTATTATAGTTCAAATCTTACTTATCTGACCGTCATCAATTCATAGCAGTGAATGACAAGGTATTATATCAATCACAAGTACAGTATGGAGCACCACAAGGCTCAGTACTAGGATAATTGCTTTTCACGCTTTACATGTTACCCTTAGGCGATATCATCGAGAAACATGGTGTTAGCTTTCACTGTTATGCTTATGATACTCAGCTCTATATTTATTTACGGCCGATGAAACATACCAATTCACAAAACTAACGGAATGCATAGTTGATATAAAAAAACTGGATGACTAGTAATTTCCTACTGCTGAATTCGGAAAAAAATTGTACCAAAAACCTCTGCATATAATAACCTAAAACACTTGTCTAACACTTGATGGCTGCTCTGTTAATTGGCATCATCTGAGGTCCTCTGAGGGGTTGGCATCATCTCTTCTCAGGTGTTTTAGCTCTTCCTGTCCTATAGCTGTAAAGCACTGCAGTTTATCTTTTG